GGGAGGAGGGGGCAGGGGGTTGGGCAGTCAACCCCTCAAAATATATCAAGCAAAGTAAACCTATCTTTGGAGACTGGGCCAGAGGGCTACAACTGGGAAGGGCTGAGGGGGAAGAATAAGCCTGACTGGGACCTGGTTTATCTTTCTTTTCATCTGTGAAAAGCAGCGGTTGCCTCTTACACACACATACACAGAGCCTGGTCCTATACCTCACAGAGATAGACAGACAGACCGAGATCTCCAGAGACCAATGCTCCATTCATCCAGCACATATTTATTGAGTACCCATTTTATGCCAGGCACTGTTGGACACAGGAATAGATAAAACAAAGTCCTTATTATAATGGTATATTTCTAGTGGGAGAAATATATAGTGTGTCAGATGGTGATAAGTACCATGGAGAAAAATGTAGCTGGGTTGGGGGGGCATAGAAAAGGGAAGATGTGTTAGTTATCTATTGCTGTGGAACAAATCATCCCCAAATTTAACAGTTTAAAACAACAAACATTTATTTCCTCACAAGTCTTTGCATCAACAATTCAAGAGCGCCTTAGCTGGATGGTTGGCCTCTTATGAGGTTGTAGTAAAAATTTTTTTTTTTTGAGTTGGAGTCTCACTCTGTTGCCCAGACTGGAGTGCAGTGGCACGTTCACAGCCTCTGCAGCCTCGACCTGCTGGGCTCAGGTGATCCTTCCTCCTCAGACTGTAGCTGGAACCACAGGCATACACCACCACACCTGGCTAATTTTAAAATTTATTATACAGATGAGGTCTCATCGAGTTGCCCAGGCTGGTCTCAAATCCTGGGCTCAGGGAATCCTCTTGCCTCTGCCTCCCAGTCACACCTGGGACTACAGGTGTGAGTCAGTGCACCTGGCCAAGATTGTAGTAAAAATATTAGCCAAGGCTGTAGTCATCTAAAGGCTCGACGGGGACTGGGGGATCCACTTCCAAGATGGCTTACTTACACAGCTGTTGGCAAGAGGCCTGTTTCTCCCCACATGGACCTCTCCATAGGAGTGTTTGTATATCCTGCCAACATGGCAGTTGATTTCCCCCAGAGTAATCCAAGAAAGAGAGATTAAAGAGGCAACAATGCTTTTTATGGCCTAGTCCTGGAAGTCACACACTGTCACTTCTGCCATATATTATCTATAAAGTACATAACTAAGTCTAGTCCACACTCAAGAGGAAGGAAACTAGGCTTCACCTCTTGAAGGGTGGAATGTCAAACATTTTGTGGAGGTATTTTGAAACCACCACAGAAGGGATGCTGTTATATAAATATTGTGTTAAGGCGAGAGGATCGTGCAAGGATAGGAGTTTGAGACCAGACTAGGTAACATAGGGAGAACCTATCTCTACAAAAAAATTAAAAAATTAGTATCGCCTGTAGTCCTAGCTACTTAGGAAGCTTAGGTGGGAGGATCACTTGAGCCCAGGAGTTCGAGGCTGCAATGAGCTATGATTGTGCCACTGCACTACAGCATGGGTGACAAAGTGAGACCTTGTCTCTTAAAAAATTCACTGAGCAGGATTCAAAGGAGGGTAGGAAGAGAGCCTTGTGGATACCTAAGGAAGAGCACTGCAGTCAGAAGAATAGCAGGTGCAAATACCCTGAGGTAGAAGCTTGTTTGATGTATTGGAAGAAAAGCAAGGAGGTCACTGGGTTGAAATGGGTGCCCAAGGGGGTGAGTGTTTAGATGTTTGGTCAGAGGTAACATGAGCCTTGGAGCAGGCCTTGGAAGGAATGAAAGGATTGGATGAGATGGAAAGCCACTGGAAATGTCTCATCACAGAGTGAAAGTCTGACTCTGGTTGCTGTGTGGAGAGCCCTCCATCGAGGATGCAAGTGTGAGAATTGGTTAGGTGGCCATTACAGTAGTCTAGACCAGTACTCCCCAACCTTTTTGGTATCAGGGACTGGTTTCACGGAAGGCAGTTTTTCCATGGACCGCAGGGGAGGGGTTGTGGAGTCAAACCTCACTGCTAATGTTAATCTGTATTTGCAGCCACTCTCCAGGGCTAGCATCACCATCTCAGCTCCACCTGATCTCAAGGCCTCAACCCAGAACTGATCCCTGGCAATAGAGCTCAGTAATTTCTATACTCAGTGAGTGTTCTGGGTGATGTTCTAGGTGACTCTTAGGCACAATCAAGTATGTATTCCCTACTACCGTCGAAAGCCATTGTCAGATCATCAGGCATTAGAGTCTCATGAGGAGCACATGACCTAGATCTCTCACATGCAGCTCACAATAGGGTTTGCACTCCTATGAGAATCTAAGGCTGCCATTGACCTGACAGGAGGCGGAGCTCAGGTGGTAACTGAGCAATGGAGAGTGGCTGTAAATACAGATGGAGCTAGCCAGGCTCGGTGGCTGGGCCTGTAATCCCAGCGCTTTGGGAGGCTGAGGTGAGTGGATTGCCTGAGCCTGAGGGTTTGAGACCCGCCTGGGCAACTTGGTGAGACCTCATCTCTACAATAAATAAATAAATTAGCTGGGTGTGGTAGCGTGCACCAGTAGTTCCAGCTACTTGGAAGGCTGAGGTGGAAGGATCGCAGGAGTCCAGTCTGAGTGACAGAGTGAGACTCCAACTCAACAACAACAAAAATACAGATGAAGCTTCTCACTTGCCCTGCTGCCCACCTCGTGCTGTGCGGTCCAGTTCCTAATAGTCCTTGGATCGGTACCAGTCTGTGGCCTGGAGGTTGGGGACTCCTGGTCTAGGCAACAGGTGATGGTGTTTTGAGTCAGGGTGGGAGCAGTGGAGATGGCTAGTCTGGGTATATTTTGAAGATAAAATAGGATTTGTTTTGGATTGGATGTGGGATGTAAGAGAATGAGATGTGTCTAAGAGGACTCTAAGGTTTTTGGCCTGGGCATCTGGGTAAATGGAGGTGCCCTTAATTTAGACAATACAGACTATGGGGTAGTGGTGGCAGTAGTGCAAGATTGAGAGAGGAACCAGTTTGCTCTAGACATCTGGAAGTTTGAGACAACCAAGTCGAGATGTTGAGTAGAGATGGAAGAGGAATGATCTTCAAATCTGGTGCTCAGGGAAGAGATTTAGACTGAGACATTTAGGAGTCAAGATATATAGATAGTATTTAGAGTCATGAAATAGTTCAGATCACCTGGGAGGGGGTAAACAGAGAAGAGCCTTGAGGACTAAGTACTCAGAAATCAGAGGGCAAAGAGATAAGAATCCAGTAAAGGAGTGATTACTTGTGTCAAATGAAAGTTGAGAACTATGAAATGAACATTGAATTTAGCAATGGAAATGGAGAGAGGCCTGGGAGCCTAGTCCTTTGTGGAAGGGAAGGAGGGATGACAAGGCAAGCTGGGACATCCTTAACAGATGTGGGGTCTGAGCCTAGAGACAGAGGGGGACAAATTCTCCAAGGAGGCATGACTTTGCAACCCAGTATCAACGGAGAGGTCCCAAGCAGGGCCTGCCACGTCTGACACAGTGGTAGTGGTGGGGGTTGGATGGCCAACTTACCTGGGCTTCACATTCATTCAGAGTCACAAACAAGTTTTGATGTTGTTTCCAAACAAAGTTATACACGTAGTCTTTTGTATTTGTGTTCATTAGAATGTCAAATTTTAAAAATAAATAATTTTTCAACCATGTTTCTTCTATTTTCAATATTCCTGGAGTCCTAAGAAGTCTAAACTTTAACCTCAGAGCAGGGCCAGGATGAGGGAATGTCAAATTTGGTGCCTAGGGTGCAAAAGTGAAGAACACAAGAGCAGGGTCTTCGGGATTGAGTGTACTTCAAGCACCTGCCTTGCCTCACCCTAGTCCTAGCCCTATCTACCTCACATACTGCCAGGCAGTGTGCCTGCTTCCCACCCTGGGATCCCCCACTGAAATGATAGGTCCTTGAGAAGGTAGGCCAAAGGTTGAAGGAATTTGGGCTCTAGGTGAAGGTGGACACTACAGTTTGAGCCCAGAAAAATGCAGACTGAGAACACCTATGGCTCTTTCAGCTCAAAAGTGGGTGCACACTGCCACCTGGTGGTCATCCAGAGCAGGATTCTTAGGACTATTCCTAGAATTGCATCAGTAGAGACCAAGGCACACCACCTCTCAACCCTGAATTTCTCATTGTGGCACAACTCATCAAACATGCTGTTGGGCATGGTAACTCACGCTTGTAATACTAGCACTTTGGGAGGTCAAAGCAGGAGGATTGCTTGAGGTCAGGAGTTCGAGACTAGCCTGGCAATGTAGCAAGACCTTGTCTCTATTTAAAAAAAAAAGAAAAAAAATTAGCCAACCATGGTGGTTTGTGCCTGTAGTTCCAGCTACTTGGGAGGCTAAAGCAGGGGGATCGCTATGTGTGTGAAGAAAAGATCTTCTTGAGTCCAGAAAGTTAATACTGTAATGAGCCAAGATTATGCCACTGTATTCCAGCCTGGGTGACAGAGGAAGACCCTGCCTCAAAAACAAAAAAACATGCTCTCAATTCAGAATGGATCCCTGGCAATGAAGCTCAGTAACCTGTAGACTCGATGAGTGGTCTAAGTGATTCTTAGGCACAATCAAGTATATATTCTCTACTACAGTCAAAAGCCATTGTCTTGCTGGGTGCTGTGCTCTTGACTGCAATCCCAGCTACTTGGGAAGCTGAGGCAGGAGGATCATTTGAGGCCAGGAGTACAAGATCAGCCTGGACAACATAGTGGTACCCTGTCTCTAAAAAAAGTGAAAATTACCCAGGCATGGTGGCATAAGCCTATAGTCCCAGTTACTTAGGAGGCTGAGGTTGGGAAGATTGCTTGAGCCCAGGAGTTCGAGGCTGAAGTGAGCTAAGTTCACACTACTGCACTCCAGCTTGGGTGACAGAGGAGATCCAGGCTTTAAAAAAAAAAAAAAAAAGAGAGAGAAACCACTGTCTTGTAAACTGAATCTCACAGCAAGAGAGAGGTCTTCCTGAAGTTACCAGCAGTTAGTAGCTTTTCCTGCTGCTCAGACACACAAAGAAATGGAACAGATTGATAGGTCTTTATTAACAAAAACAGACAGATGGACAAAGAATGCAACAGGGGCTGTCTGAAAACCGTGATGGGAATGTGTGTATGTGTATGCAGAAAAGGCCTTCTGTAGGCCAGGAATGGCCCCTTGGAATCAGGCCCACCTCTCCAGGTCCTCTCCTCAGTGGTGGTCCCTGGGCTGAAGCCGGCTTCCCATCATACCCCCAAGGGAGGAACAGGGGTCTTTCAGGGATAGATGACCCTGACTTCAGCATTCTCCATATTACTCTGGTTCCCCAGCTGATTGGGTTGCTGAGGGGTGGGGGACAAGCCACAGGAGCACTTGCATAGCAGGGAAGTAGAATGGGGGTAAGGCATATGGTGAGGACAGAGGAGAAAGGGAAGGGCATCATCGTTGCAGGTGAAGGGGGCCTCCAAAGGGCAGCTCCGTTTCCCTCTCATCCCCCCAAATTGCTGCTGGGTTGAGGAGTCAGACTGAGGCAGTATAATACCCACCCCCAGTCTTAACTCGAGCCCTGGTTGGGGGTGGGGTGGGAAGCTCTGGAAAGGCCTGAGTTGGTGAGTCAAGCTTGTGGTGTGTGTCTGAACATGACTGGCTCCCTTGGTATATGTGGGGCTCCCTCTCTGGATGGGTGTGAGTGATGATCCTGCCGTACACACGGGTCTCAGTATCTATATGTGTCCCATGTGTTCCCATGGGTCTCTGCGTTTACATGTGTAAGCATGGATGTCCCTGCTTATACAGCAGGAACTCAGTATCTGCATGGTGTACATCCCTGTCTGTAAACATGGGCTCCAGCAAGTGGATGCATATGGGCCTGCCCGCTCCTGTCTATCCAGAGGTCTTCCTTTAGGCCTGGCTGGTCAGGGGTCCTGGCCGAAGAGGTAGGTGGTGAGCTCAAGTCGGAGGCCCCGGGCATAGGAGCGGAGAGTATAGAAGAGGGTGAGGAAGTCTTGAGTGCTGAAGACAGTGTCAGCCAGTGCGAAGGCCAGAGTAGATGGGATGACACCCCGGCCGTACTCCACCATCCATGTGTTTGGCCCCCACTCTACAGCCGTTGCCTCACCAGGCCCGTGCACAACCGTCTCCCCTGGAGGACAGGGAGCACCCATGTGAGGAGCCCAGCTTTTCCCTAGCCTGTGGGCCATTAGGGGTGGGGAATGGAGAAGGAGCTTTAGGAAAAGAAAAAGCCAGCTGGGCTCGGTGGCTCAGCCTGTAATCCCAGCGCTTTGGGAGGCTGAGGTAAGTGGATTGCCTGAGCCCGTGGGTTCGCGACCCGCCTGGGCAACTTGGCGAGACCTCATC